TTGTAAGATGGAGGGAAAATTTATTCTAAACGCAGGAACAACGACAAGTTACTCTTGTCTCAATATAATAAGTTAATCTTTTTTAATTCGACAGAGGAGAATAAGAATTATTGATTTTCTTTTGTTATTGTCTTATTTGTATACTAAATGAGGTTGTGAGAAATATAAATGCGCCAAGAATATTTCTTGTCTCGGTAACAGAAATCCTTTCTGAGGGTGCACATTTTCCATAGACTGCACATAAGTTTGTTATTTAATTTTCTCAGTGACGAGGTTCCTAAACAGCCTCAAACTTCGACAAAATTTTTTTACGACGAAATCTACAACACCAATTTGGATTCGTTTTCATCATTTCAGTCTCGTAACGACTCAACGTCTGAAAAATACAAGCGAAATAGCATAGTTCATTCTCTTACATTTTTTTCGTAAGAATTAAAATATCACAAGTTAGATACTTTATTACTCTCTTCGCGCGTATATTTCCTAATATATCACAGATCGTGTGCGCAAATAAATCGTCGGAAGAAATATCGCCGTGGAGGAACGCGCGCGCCCCGAGAAATGCACTCTTGACGCACACGCCCTTTAACGTTATCTCTTCAAGAGTCATCGATTACGTTCTTGTTATCGCAGGCGCGTCGTTCGCGCGCTATCTCTCTCTCTCTCGCCTCCTTTCAATCGTCTGGTCAGTCTCGAGCCAGTTTGACTGAAATAGCTACCGATTGCAGCTGCGATCGAGCTGCGTCGCGGACGCATCCATCGCGAAGCAATTGGCCGCGATGCCGCGCGATGATACTGGCAGTTTACGATGCCTGATTTGACTCGATCTGCCGTTGCTTCCTTCTCTTTTTCCTTCCTTATCGGGCATTTGCGCAAGCACTCGTACTCGTGGCAGCCGGCACGAAACCTCGGAGTTAAATCGACGTTCCGGATCCCCGGTCGATTGGCGAAAACGAGCGGCGCGTAGCGACATTATAATATTTTGCTGGACCGGTTTGCGAAAGACGCTGCTTCGGAGAAACGGGAGGAGGCTCATTGTCAGTCGCTCGCATTGAAACGCCACCACGGCGTGTAAATCTCGCGCGTCACACGATACCGCCTTGACTAATGTAATATTTATGACGGTTAATTGGCCGCTTCTCTCGATACTTGAGCCGGCGAAGAGTATTATCCGGGATAATAAGAAGAACGTGATTGCAATTATTTATCAACTCTGCGCGGCACGCGAGCCCTGCCGTGTCCTAACGCCCACGCGGGGGCTTTCGCGTGATTACGGATCATTTGGGCAATTAGAGAGGGAAGAGGCGCGCGCTGTATTTTGTCAAATTGGCCGTTATCTCTCCGATATCGCGGCGGAGGCAGGCGCTTTTGTTACTCGAGCGCGGGCCCGCGCTCTTCGTGTCGGCGCGCCGGGTCGAGCTGTATCGATGACACGACGAGCTATAATTCCGCCGTTTTATATATTGATCAATCTCGCCGTGATGTAGGCACGGCGACGGCGGCGGGAATCGGGATTTCGAGTCGCCGACCAGCGCGCTAATGTATTTCCCGGCGAAGCGCGCCGAGCACGTTTTCGATAGATCCACGTCGACGACGACGCCTGATGGAGCGACCGATCGGTTCTCGCTCCCTCCTGGCCCGGAATCTCCCTGGAATTTCAGGAGATCCCTCCGGGGATCCCTCCGGGCCTCCCTCCGGGTCTCCCTCCGGGTCTCTCCTCGGGTTTCTCGAGCGAGATATATACATATATATATCTTTACGCGACCACACACTCGCTCGCACTTTTCCCACTTCCCGTCGCTTTTATCTGGCAGGACGCCGCCGCCGCCGTGGAGCACGATAAACTATTGCTGATGAGAAAAATCGATCCTTTCTGTTTCAGCGTTCGGAGCGTTATGCACAGATATCTGGAGAAGAATAACGAAGTAAACTTCGACAAAATATTTAATCAAATGTTAGGTGAGTAAGCTACCGCCCCCGATAGTCCGCCCTGCCCCCGCCACCCACCCGTCCCTCCGCCCTTTGACGAGATCAAAGACAAAGGGCGGCTTAGAGATTTAGTTGGTAAATTCGCCCGACTCCCTTCCAATCTAATTGCGCAGCGAGGAGAAGCTCCTCTCGACGTGCGTTTTTTTTATCTCTCTGTTCAGTAGTCCAATTATATATAGACTTTAGATCTCGGCATATTGTCTCTCGCTCTGTCTGTCTCTCTCTGTCTTTCTTTCCAATCTACGTAATTATACGAAATACGTGCGTATATTATATTATAGATAAACATAACCGCGGCTGCCGCACCGATTAATTCCCGCAGCTTGTTTTGCGCCGCGTGAATCGCAAAGATTTCCCGAACGTAAAGGCCTGTGTCCACGGCTGCTTTCGCGAGAAAATCAAACTGATCCAGATTAAAATGACCTTGGGCTATGATTGGTCAAATCTGAAATTTCGCAGCATCACATTGAAATTCTATTCAATGAAATTCCAGGTTTGACCAATCATAGCACAAGGTCATTTTAATCAGGATCATTTTGATTTTCTCGCGAAAGCAGCCTACGATGCTAGAGTCCGAGTTTTCTAGTTCCGAAACGCGACGACGCGAGCGTGAATATTGGCCCATGCAAAAAGTCTCGCCGAAGACCGTGCCCCTCCTCGGTGGGTGATGGACAGTCCCGTTTGTGAATCGCTAATTAAGTGTTCCATTGTTCGTGAAGCGTTATTTTGACGCGGTATTAATTCGGGCGCCAATTAAATCTGCTATCTCGCGAATTAATCGGTAGACTTGAATCACGTACGTGCGATTCGCCCTCCTCCGTTTTCTCCGTCGTAGAACGAAACGTGCGATGCGATCGCCGGCCTGAGATGACCTGGAAAAACCCTTTGGCAGGACCGCGCCAATTTGCGCGGACGATTCGACCCTTCCCTGTCGCCGGTTATCGTTACTGTTCTCCTCTCTTGCTGTTTTCTTTTTGTTCCTCGCGAGAGTAGAGAAACGGCGTTAATAAGTGTTAGCGAGAGCTCTGACAATTTACTGAAAGTTCGCCGATGTCAAGCAAACTCCACATGTACTTCCAGGTTACCTTTTATTCAAAGACTTCTGCGAGACTGTAGCGGAGGAACCGATTCCGCAACTTAGGTTTTACGAAGAGGTTCGTGTTCTTTAGCCCGCACACACTATGTACATATATATGAATATACATATAGTTAAGTTTCCAGTAGCGTCGCGTGTATCGCGCACCGCTGGGCCCGGCTGCATGAAGGAATTTCGTATTTTGTGCATTGTAGATCAAGGCGTACGAGAAGCTCGAGTGCCCGGAAGACAGGAGAAAGCTCGCCCGGGAGATCTACGACAATTATATTATGAAAGAGCTACTGGCGCATTCTCACGTGAGTGTTAACGCAGGACCGAATTACCCGAGGGGTAAACCGCTGAGGGCATTGTGGTGTACAGATTACATCGCTAGGCATCACTAGACATTTTTTCGGCATTAGCGGGTGTTATTTGGCCATGCTGGGGCATTAGAAAGAAAAACATAGAAATCTCTTGAAGTTGCCAGTAATAAATGACAAGAATCAAGCTTTTTAGCTCGACATTAACCGGCCAGTGTTTTAATACAGATAATTTATTGCGAAAAATATTACCTCAGGGTTTGAACCTGGACTTCCCTATACTCTCTACGCGGGTGTTTCACCAATTCGACCACTGAGACATGCCTCGCTATTAAAACACTGGTCGGTTAATGTCAAGCTAAAAAGCTGGATTATCATTATAAAGAAAAGATGGAAAAGATAACAGAAGATAATATAGCAAGATAAGGTAATGGGCATCAGTAGGCATTGGTGATTTTGGTCAGCGCTTTTCTCCTCGGAATTACCGTTCCCTCCTGTAATAATGTAAGTACACGGAGAGAATTTTCTCTCAAAAGAGTGAGAACAAGATCGGCCCCATTTTTTGTCGCATTTGATTTTGGTCACAAGGTTGGTACCGAGCGAAAGGTCTCGTCAAGATGATCGCAGATATGTCAGTCTCAGAGTGTACCTATTTAACGTTCCAGAGATATCGGGTTCCAAAAATTCCAAAACCGAGTCGGAGTCGACTAAAAGGTTTCCCAATGATCGATGCTAATAACATCGCCCTGCATTTGCTACGAACTTAAGTAAGGTTTAGGTGGATTAAGTGAATTATTATCTGGGTCTCTTTTATTTTCTAACCGATCTAACCGATAGGTCCGGTCAAAAGCATTCATAGCGCCATTTTTCGGTACTGGAGTCTTTGGAGTGGATACCATAGGTACACTCTGAGACTGACATATCTGTAATCAGCTTGACGAGACCTTTCGTTGGCTACCTACTCTGTGACCAAAATCGAATGCGAAAGAAATGGGGCCATTTGCCTATAAACGCTTGTTCTCACTTTTTAAATAAAATTTATGCAATCATGGAACATGGCATTGCGAAGAACTGCATGAGAGGTTTTTGAAATTTTACCGTATATTCTACTAGCAAAATGTACACCGAGTATCATTGTTAGTAGAAGGTATGGTAAAATGTTTTTAAATCTCTCGTAAAATTCCTTGAAATGCCACGTCGTACCACGGTTACATGATTTTCAGGACAAATTTTAACGAACACTTCTCTCTCTCTCGTGTGGAGAATTTTCTCTCTCCCTCCCTCTCTGTGCATATGAGTTTTTTTTTTAATCTTAACGCACGCGACGCGTCTGTCTGTTGCAGGAATATTCGCAAGAGGCGGTGTCTCACGTGCACAAGTATCTCATGAAAAATGAAGTCCCAGTTAACTTGTTCGAGGTAGGTCATTGTCTCGTGGCCTTCTCCATCCGCGATTGCGCGCACGTGATCGATTTATTGCTCGTGACTCACGAAACTTTTTCCCCCCCGTTTTTCTGCCCGTAGCCGTACATCGAGGAGATATTCAACCATCTGCGC